GTCACTATTTCATCTTTTTCACTTTTGTTCTTGGTCACTATTTCATCAAAGTATATTATTTCACATTTTTTTTTTACTATATTAGTCTTCATTTTATTTTCTAATTAATTCATTTTCAGTTGAGGTAATATTGGGGCACCCATCAGATATTAATTACCACCTTAGTGTGCCCACCACCCACTCACCCATATTCCACCACCACAGACCATTGTGCCTCCTTCCCTCTTTGTTCTTACCTCGCCCCTCCACCTGTTGCTTCAATTCTGTAGTCAGCTAGCAAGTGTTTGTTTTTAAGCTTGCCTTTATCTGACTGTTAGTTACTTTATATTCCGCATATTAGTGACACCATGTGGTATTTATCTTTTTCCTTCTGACTTATTTCACTACACAATTTCATTATCCACCTATCTGTTGAAGAGCACTTAGGTTGGTTCCATGACTTGGCAATTGTGGGCAGTGCTGCTATAGACAAGGTGTACATACATATTTTTTATTAGAGTTTTCATATTTCTAGGCTAAATACATAAAACCACAATTAGAGTTTATTTCTTCAAAAGAAAAGCTGGTAGGGTATACTGGGTGGAGTGGCAGCAGGCCAGTGGGGGAAGTAGAGACACTTATTAGTTTAGTTTTTCAGATGTGGAGGATTGTATAAATAAGAAATCTGTAAAGTTATTTTCACCAATTTTAGTTGCATGTACTGCTGAGAAGTGATATTTTTTGGAGATTGTAAGGAATAATTTGATTGAGTAGAGAAAGATTCCTGTCTTCTTGTTTGCTCTGTCATTGTTCAGAGTCAGGTAACTGCTATAGCTGTTTTAAAGGTTTATATGTGCCAGGTACACAGATCTGTTTTTCCCAAAATAATTCATTTAATCCATTTAAGGTGGGTGTTATAAGTATTTTTCAGGTAAGAAAACTGAGTGAGGAAAAAGTTGAGTAATCAGCAAATCAGAGGTGTATGTGGTTTAACAATATAGCAAATGAGGTATAATGGTTTAAACTTGGTTTTTAAATGCCAGGAACTTGTTTTCTGCTATTGAGAACAAACTGAAAAAGAAGGATGTCAGGATGAAAACCTCTTGCTTAAACTTGTTTCTTCAGTATCTGGAACATTGCGGTGTTCCCTGCACCTGGAACTGGGGATGGGGGTGGGGTGGGGTATGTGTGTGTGTGTAGTATATTGTTTAAATCTATTAATGATTAACATTATGATAACTATCTTATTTTGCTATTATAAATATTTTCTTTGTATATCAAAATTAAGTTTATTTTCCAAGGACTGACTCTCTTTCTCTCTCTGTCCTTACTTATTCAGCTCACAGTGATCGAGTGCCTACTATGTGCAGCTCTTGTGCTGGGCTCTGAGGACACAATAGACAGCACACCACATTCTCTACCCTCACAACCCTGACAATTTAGCTTTATTTCTACTGTACCTGTTATAGTGTTAGGACAAAATTCAACACTTCCAATGCCCCAGAAATCAGAACAGAGCTGTACTGAGTCCTAAGCTTGTCTCAGCTGGTCTTCTTTATATCTACTCTTCTTCTTCAGTAGGATGAAAAGATGCAAACAGCTCCCAATTAGCCCAGCTGAAGGGTTTCCCTAAAAGTTCTGTGCTGTGAGGAGCAGAGGTTGGGTGTCTGCTGGCTCTAAAGGTCATTGGCTTATCTAGGCAGCTGGTAGGTCACCCTGTCTCTTTTATGATCAGACTCTGCCCTAAGCTGTAGCCATTTGCTTGTATGAATGCAGATGTGAAGCTTTTTTATTTATTCTCGCCATCCTCCACTGAAATACAATTAAAAGGTCAACCAAGGATCCTCAACAAATTGTGCTGGATTGAGGGGAGAGGAAGCAGAGGGAGCACTTTGTCTGTGGATTAGCTTGTTTACGACAGAGCTCAAAAACATTTTGTTTCAAGCAGAGTTTTATGCATTTGTCAATAAAGCCAGGCTTGGAAAGGGCAAAAATCAGCCTGTTTGTCACAGAGTCCCCACATGCTTAAGAGTCAAGCCCCAGCAGAGGGGCTTGCAAATGTCGGTGCTCATCCTAGTAACACTCCTGCTTTGGCCTCTCAGTAGGAATGTAAGCTGCTTTATTCCAGGAGACCCTGGGATAAGGACTTGAATGCAAGTTTTTATACCAAATACACCAATAAAGGAGTGAAAGGAGTGAGGAACTGAGATAAGGAAGGGAAGGCAGTCAGTATAGGGCATGTTAATGAGGAGGATACTCTGAGGTGGGCGTTTGCAACTCAGTCTGTTTGGGCACCACAGAGAGGTCGTATAGAATATGCCTCCTCATTATCCTAACCAGGAAGCTGTGAACCTGCAATGTATATGCACCAACTTCCTTTGTCATCGGCAGAAGGCTGTTTTCAGGGGTTCAGATTCCATAGCCTTCTAGCTGAGTACTCCTTTCCATGCAGAAAACAAAACAAAACAAACCTGCAACAGAAAAGTACACAGCTTGAAATAGAAATTGGTATGTGCAGAGGAGATATAATATACCAACCTTGTTGTTGCAGCTCTGCTCCTGATGGGAGGGTGAGAGCAAAATCTGATCTCATCATTGTCTTGGTCTTATCATCCTATCAGTGTTGCAAGGACCACCAAATGGGCTGCTGATGGAAAAGAAAAGGCAAGGTAAAACAATTGCCCTAAGGAGGGGCTGAATATCTGGCTTCAGGATTGGAAATCTTAATCAGATCTCACAGGAAACAGGGAAACAACAAAATCTTACCAGAAGTTGGAGCTAGCAGCCTATAGGCCTCATCTTCCTCAAGTTGCCTTGAGTGTGTATGTGTATAAATATATTATTTGCCAAATCATATAAATATATATAGATTGTAGGAATCTACATATCTAACTTCCATTTAAAAACAAAACAACAGAAGACCTGACACTTCTAGGACCGTTTATTTTATTGACCCCAACATTTGGGAGGCAAACAGTTGACCTCCCTCCATGAATGGGGCATGAGCGTCCTTTGGCCATAATCTCAGTCACCACCTAAAGCTGTCCTGTGGTCATCGAGGCTGCATTTACCAGGGCATTTGTGCTTGTGCTTTTCTCATATCCTGCTCACTCATTAATATTCTCTACTTGGCTTCTCTAAGTATTTGAATGGGTAACCCCACATTCTAAACTTGGGCCTCAAGTGGACAAATGGTTTCTAGGGATTTTCCTGGCTTTCTATGACCCCATCCCCACAGTCAGAAAGTGTTCAATTCTTGATTCTTATTAGGGACATGGAAGAACCTACCATTATCTTGACCCAGTCGCCCATCACTTTCATGCTATAATACGTTTTTCAAGCATACTGGCCAATTATATTGTCCAGACTGCTTCATAGGGGTTATTGTTTCCTTTCTGAACAAAACTCTTCATCTTCTCACCCAAACTGATTGTCCCTCCTGATAAGTGGCAGATTAAGAGAGTAGATTCATGCTCACCCCTCTCATTATATCCCAAAGTACTGGCAAATTCTTTCAGCACTACTTTCCCTTAGACCCACATCTTCTCCACAGTTACCATGACAGCACAGGTCACTATTTCTTCTGGATTATGTTTGTGCTCCCCTAATGGGATTCTTTGCTGCTCCCATTGCTCTTCAACAATCTTTGCTCATCACAGCAGTCAGCGTGATTCTTCTGAAGCCTCAGATCATGCCATTCTTTGCTCATTTCCTCTCTGATTGCACCTTGTTCTGGCCTTCGCTTCCCTATCCCCAGTCAACTTTACAGCTATAATCACTCCCTTCTTTGTTCTTGATGACCTTAGACATGCTTGTTTCTTAGGGTTTGTCCATTTGGTGTTTCCTCTGCCTGTCATTTCATTTCCCTGTCTATCTGCACAATTTACAATCTCATCTCTTCTTTTAGGACACAGATTACATGTTATCTTCTGAATGAGATCTTCTCTGACCATCTCATTGACAATGTAACCCGTATCAAATCCCCAGAAATCTGCTTTTATTATTCTCCAACTAATATCACCATTTGACGGTATTTTGCTCATTCACTTATCTGCCCCCAATGTTGTCTGTTTTGTTCATTGATTTATCTACAGTCCCTAAAATGGGACATGACCCTGACTAATTGGTCAATCATATTTGTTGGATAAATCAATCAGTGCCTTTCCTTGCCCAATTCCCCCTTTCCTGGATAGGAAATTTCCTTTCTATATCTTAACTAGGTCTAATCCATTTTCAGACCTGCCTTTTTACATCCTCCATGAAAACCTCTGATTATTCTTGTCCAGTCTGATGACTACATTTCCTGGAGCAAAAATGATAGATACCAAAAAAATTAGAAATGGTCACATTATCCACACAATTGAGAAGGGGATTGTGTGGTCTTCATGACAATTTCAACAAATTTTTGAAGACAGAGGGAGTGACCAAAAAAAAAAAAAAAAAAAAAGCCAGTGTTATAGTGCCATCTGTGCTGAAAAGCTGTTTTCTCTGAACTTCCACAAAACTTCTGTTCTTTGTTGTACAGGCAAAGATGTAGGAACAGAGATGCAATAACCATCAATTTAAGCGTGTTGGCTAATTGTTGCTGTACAGTAAACCACAGTGTTTTTAAAACGCAAGTATTTTTATTGACCCCAGATGTAAGAATGAGCAGTTCTGTTGATCTGGACTGGGACCCCTGGTGTTTGCTGGGTTTACTTAGGTGTCTTCATCAGCTGTGAACTGACACATGGTTTGCTGCTCTACGATGACCTTACTCATGGAACATGCTTGGCGGAGTATGGGGATGAGTGGGTATTTGCTTATTATTTTCTGACATGCTGGACTGTGATTGTCCACTTAGGGTTGCTCCCAGAGTTTTCCTGGAAACACAAAGATTCTTGGGGGTGGCAGAAGCTTACATTTGGGCAATGTGTTCTTATCCATACTGCCTGAAACTTTGCATTTTAATGTTTAAATTGTAATAGAAAAGTCGGGGACAGAAGACTAATGGTAATATCAACATCTTTTCATCCCTGCAGATATATTTGCTGAAACCTTCAAATATGGAACAAAACTTTAAAGGACAGCATCCTGTTTTACTTAGAAAGAGAATGGAATGCATTTAGTCGCATGCAGAAAAAGAATCACCCTTTCAGCTCAAGGAGAGGAAAAGTGAGTATCAAATTTCTCTTCTTTAAGCAGAACCCAGAAGGGTCTTCAGGTTCAGTAAGCTCTAGGCTTAGAAATGCCATGTTGAGGAAAAGGGGAAGGACTGGAATGAGAACACAGGAGTAGAGACAAGATTGCTGATGAACTTGAGGGCATTTTGGAATGGGGAATTTAGTGCATATCAGTTGGGTAAGGGAAGAAGCAGGGTTGAGACTCAGTATGTGCAACTGGCCTTTGTCTTTGGAGCTGTTTGGTCTTGCTATGTGAAGATATTGATGAAACCTTGCTTATTCCATAGGATGCAATCTAGCACCCCAGATTGTTAAATGGGGCAAAATCCTAGGTGGCAGGCAAGCTACCATCCTGGTATTACAGGGTTGGAATTTTCTTTCTTTTCTACACTCTAATATTTTGCTAAATTGCTTGATGTTAGCCCTGTAGTAATTTAATTTTCTTCAAAATAAGCATGTTTCACTTTGTTTTCTTTACTCACTATTTTGGAGACAGCCTGGTTAAAATCTTCCCACTCACAAAATTGCTAGTCAAAATATTTTAGGAAGTAAGCTCAAACATTCATTGTTTGCCTTATTAAAAATTAACTCAGGCAGATGGAGAAGAATACAATGTACGCTCTCATCTTAGTCCCACTTGTTGTCTGTCCTTCAACTGCACACCATGTCTCACATGAACTCACCCCATGAGGGCTGTGGGGTGGGGCCAGGAGTGCTTTTACCTGTGTTATGCAGGAATGCTGTTCTGGTCACATGTTTGGTCTTGCTCACTTGGAGTAGAGTGATGGAATCAGATATGAAGCTCAGGATATTTGGAAACAGGAGCAGTGTTGCTCCCCAGGTATCATGGAAGGGCAAGAAAAATACCTGAGTTTCCATGTGCAGAAAACACTGCTAATGGAAACCCTAACCAGCTCTCTGCAAAAACAGAGGAAAGACAACAGAAACTGTATCTTGCTGTTCTCATCTGTTTTTGAACCTCCTGCCTGTGGAATTCCCTGGGTGCTTTAACTCATTCTTACATTCATTTCCACGAGGGCTCATTGAACCTGTGCCATGTACCAGGCTTTCTTCTAGTTTGTTCAACAGGAAAAGAGTCATGTCCGCAGCCCTCAGGGGGTCACAGTCCTGAAAAATGTGGGTCATAGAATTACTGCTGAAGCAAGTGCAGGGAGTTCTAGGAAATAGAAAGGACACTTAGCACAGTCTAAGTGACTAAGATGTCTGTGTTTGGGGGTGTAGCTCCCATTCTTTTTCGCAATTTGTTACCCCAGAAATAAATAGCAATGGGAAGGGGGAAAGGCTATTGGAGAAGAGACCATCACCCTCCAGCCAGAGCTGGGTAAGCTGCTGAAGAGGCACAGGTCACCTAAGACACACAGTTTCCAAAGTGGGTTGCAGCCCACTAAACATTTTGCAGAGAGCTCAATCCTGATAAAAGAATAATAGCCCCCATATTTTTCACTCTTTTCCACACATTCTGTTCCCCTTCCCCAGAAATACTGCCTTCCATTCTATCTCTCAGTATCGGAGGGGAACCAGCATTCAACAACATCATAGATTTGGGGTCATTTAATCCTCCCAGCAGTGCTTTGAAAATGTTACAATTTATTTCCACTTTACAGATAAACTGGGACAGAGCAGTTTGTTAACTTACCTAAGGTCACACTGCCTACAAATGACTTTAAGCTAGAGGGGCATGGTGAAGAATAGGATGAAACCCCAAGGCAGACCAAGATCCAACAGGAAAGACGATTGCCTAGCATGCAATGTTTTAAGAAGCTTAGGAACCACTAGAGTAGCATGGGTTGGTGTTGGTGAACTGGAGCTCTGCCCTAGTAAATATGGGCACAATATCAGAAACCCTGGAGTATAAGGGTAATAGGGAGGAAGATTTAGAGTTAGGACATCAATTAATTTGTTTCTATTAGTGGCAAATGGATCCAGGCCTAACCTTCATGTGGACTGGGGGATGGAGAGGACAGTAAAAGCCATGGTAGGTGTTCAGACTCGGCCAATCTGGGCACAAAGCAGTCTTGAAAACACTTGGTGTTTGAAGGCTGTGCTTCTATCTATCCAAGTCTATGAACCACACATTCTGGACTGATCTACTAGTGGCAAGAAGACTGGATAGAAAACCAGACCTTTCTAGTAATTTGTTAGAACCAACTACATCTGAATTCTACTTGATCTTCTCACTCTGACATTGGAGCAGGCTGGGGGAGACTATAAGTGCTAGTGTCTGAGCCTTTGTGAGACCAGACCCTGTGTTTCTTTGAGGGTGGCCATGGCTTCAGTGATTGGGTATATTTTCTGCAAAATGAGTCCCATGGTCAGGATTTTCCTTATAGGATTATGAGGGGGGAGAGGATCATCCCCTCTGCATTGCCAAAGTCATTGCCTTTGGAGCCTCCTTTGGTTCTTCACTGTGTTCCAGAAGACATAGAGATTTCCTGGTGTAACTGGATATTTTAAACTCTGACATGTTCCCCAATAATCCTGCCCTAAATCTTTAATCTAGATGCTTAGCAATGCACCTCTTCCAAGCAGTGGATCATTGCCTGTAAAAAGGCACCCATTAGTGATTTGGGTCTGCATCTCAGCATGGTGGAAATATCAGAGCAAGATAGTGAGAGATGGACTGGTTGTTCTCCCACTCGAGTAAGTAAATATTCCTATCTGAACCCTCGGACTCTATTTTCCCACCTGCCCTGTTCACTCTCTCTGTGGACATCAGAGAATCTAAATCCATAATACCCCCAGTGGAATTCTCGGGCTCTCTATTATGAACAGAATGTAGTTCCAGCAATGAATTCACTCCAAGACTATTGGAATCCTCCTCTATTATCAGTTAATATTGTTTCTAAATTCAAAGCTATTTTTCTGGTCTCAGCTCCTCACCAATTTCCTTCTTTTTCCTTTGCTGCAGTGACCCCCCAAACACTTGCTTATCCCTGAGTGTGTCCTTCAGGCTTCCAGCCTCTTACCATTGTTCATGTTGTTCTCATTGCTTGAAAGGTCCTACATATTGCCTTTTCTTGCAACTGCCCTTCCTTCAGAGACCAACAATTTTTTTTATGCCTCCCAAGAGAATATGAATTTACTGTCTTCCATGCTCATAAATCTCTGCAATGAGCTTTTATTATATCATTCTCATAGTTTGCTTTTTACTCTAGTGAGTCTTTCCCACTAGATAAGGAGCTTCTGGAGGGCAGGGGTAATGCTTTATTTTGTGTCCTGCAATGCAAATCAGTGTCCTCCTGAACATAATGATTCAGTTCACACTGAAACAATTACTTACTGCAGCACCCTTTCTTCTTAAACAACTCTCTGGGCTGAAGCTGAGGGGGTGGGGAGAAAAATAATGGATGATAGATTCAGACAGACTTTGTGCAATCCTGGTGCATTCACTTACTGATTTCATGTTATTTATCTCTCAGAACCTTCAATTTCCTCTTGTGTAAAGCAGGATTATAAATACGTGATGAGAGATAATGCTGGAATCTAGATGTCTGAATACTTCTTCCTGACGTGACAATTCTCACCACATAAGTGAAGGATTTATGTACACGATAATACCCGAGACACGGTCTTGATTAGGAACAGGGGCTCCACTTGCACCTCCAAGGCCCATGAGGCTCCTAGCTAATGAATTCCTTAATTCTTTCCTGTGGACAAAGCAGGGTAATGGTTCTCTCTGTCCAGTATCTTTACTTGCAGGCATGCTTCAGAGGCATGTTGCATAGATAGCCTTTCTCTAAAGCGCCTTCCTAGCTCCCTCTTGGCTATACCAAAATGAGAGCACAGGGTCATCATGGGCCCTGTCTTAATTACTGGATGCAGACAAGAACCTTCCCCAGAAAAAGGAAGTTTTCAGAAGTGTGTTGTTTTCTTTGGGATCTTTTCACTTTTCACACAAAAATTCCTACCTTGCTGGACCAGTCCATTTTACTCAGTGTGCCGTAGGTGCTCTACCGTTTTCAAATCCCCATCTGAGTAACAAGGCAAGTAGACAGGTATGTGTTGGAGAAAAGTCTTTGTTTTATAAACCAATTATTTTAGCAATAACACTGTGATCTGGGCTAGGTAGATGTACAGTGATAAAAAGAAAAGTATGTCCTGATGATGGTGTTAGGATTTGTCTCTTACCAATGTGACACATTGGGAAATGTTCTTAACACCTTAGAGTTTCACTTGGAAAAAAGAGATACTTATATCTACCACTCTGGACTGCTGTAAGTATTAAATAAGATAGAATAAGTAGAGATCCTATCATAGTAATTGGCATCCAAGAAGTGTTTGATACACATTGGCACCTTTCCCTGTTTGGCTATAGGTTGTTAGATGCTTTTGAGGGTAATTTGGGAACTCAGGACCAGAGGTCCATGATGGTTTCATTATTTCATCACTTTCTTTCATCAAAGGGAAGAGTACTATCAGGGACTAATTCCAAACTTTATGTAGAAGTGAAGTTTTTATAACCCCATGTTGCTCTTGAGGCCTTCCTAACCTACTTAGTACTTATCTATTTGACAAGCTCAAGGCTCTAGGGGTAAACCTCCAAGTTGCTAAGATTCTAGCCATTGATTTTTGCCCTGTGGAGAGCCAGGGGGACTGTTGACCCAGACGAAATGAGTTTATGAGATTATTTTTTTTAAATGGAGTTTTTGTCATTAATTGTCATGACCTGTCCCAGCTACCAATAGCTCAACACACTGTTGGGGGTTTATAGAGCCCAGGGATTTGCTCCAAGTTACTCTTACCCTGACCCCTTCCAGTTATTGCTTTTGGAGCAATGTTCCTCCTGTCTTTCTTGTGGTTGACCTTATAACAGAGTCAGGGAGCCACTCGAGCTAAGGAGATTATTTCTCCTTACTTTCAGGTGTGTGTCCACAAAATGCTCTTGGGAAACAAGACTATTGGGTTGTGACCATCTACAGGCAACTAAAGTAAAATCCTTTCATGACCACATTCTGACCTC